AAGATTAAAACATTAGCGTAGAAAACTTATATGTCCCAACAAATCCCAAGAGTATGTCTGAAAGGAGCCAAATTTTGAGAAACACTGTCCTAAATAACACACACACACACAGAAGTTGGAAATATAAGACTCCCTTACTGTGAAGTTTGTCTCTAGAATTGTAAGATTGTTAATTTCATTCTGTGGTAAGTAATGGTAATGGTTAATTTCTTTTCTAATAAAGATGTACACAGAGCTAAAAAAAAAAAGTGGGAAGAAGGTTAAGTCTCTATATGTGCAACTAGAACACAAATCTGAGCTGCACTGATGCTCTGATAAAGCAACAGAGAGGAAAGTACAGTGTCATTTCAAAAACAACTTATGGAGTGAGACACGTGTGCAACCACCAGTCCAGGTCAAGAAGTAGAATGTGTTCGGGTGTGGTGACACACACCTGTAATCCCAGAAGCCCCGGAGGCTGAGACAGGAGGGTCTCCAGTTCAAAGCCAGCCTCAGCAACAGCGAGGCATAAGCAACTCAGGGAGAGCCCATCTCTAAATAAAATACCAAAAAAAAGGGCTGGGGATATGGCTCAGTGGTTGTGTGTCCCTAAATTGAATCCCCAGTAGTTCCCTCTGCAAAAAAAGTAGAATGTGACCAGCACACAGGAGCCCTGCACTCAACCTCCCCCATCACTGCTTCTGCCTGACTCCAGGTGCTGGCTGTGTTCTCCTTCTTGACCTGCACTGGTGGTTGCACACGTGTCTTCATTTTATGGTAATTCACTGCACTGTCCTTTTTGTTACAAAGCCCTTCAATAAAAGAGTTTAAAAACACTTTCGTAGTACTGGTAAATACTTTCCTATTACTGACAAAGGTTAGAATGAAGATGACATATGGAAATAACAAAGTATATGTCGGGGGATCCTGTGCAGGGACAGATACAATAGTTGCTAAACCATAAGTCTAAAGATTTCAGAAGTGAAAAGACCTTGGAAATGGCCAAATCCAGCCCTGCTGAGTTCCTCATGGGGGTGGGGGGCTGTGCAGGTACTGCTGTAGTAGGAAAGGCAGGGCCAGACTCCTCAGGAGAGTCTGTTGCATCCAGATTATATACAACTGAGCCATCCTGTGAAGTGAAGTGGCTTCAGAGAACAATGTCCCAGAAATAGCTCAAGAACCACATCTTCAGGGTCCTGGTCTTCTACTAATCTGAAGCCCGAAGCCTCCACCTAAAACTCTTGAGCTCTTGCCACTCTAGTAGAGAAGTATCAGTAAGGCCCACAACCTCACTTAGTAAACTCATCAGACATGTTCTTCTGTCATCACAACTTTTTTACTCTAGAAATAACACTGGTTTTTCCAACACGTTTTAGATTTAATACTTCTAATACAACAATAAACATTTGTTATTTATTAACAATGGTAAATCATAGATGTTAGACTATTAACAGTACTAAAGCTACTTATTCATCTTAAAGATGAGGAAACTGATATCAGAGATGTTAGTAAGTAGTTGAGATTTCTAGAATTCTATTATCCTTTTTCAGGTTAATAAATCAGACTGAACTTCCCCATGTCTCTCTGATAAGATGAACTAATTTACATAATGAGGTAGTACAGGGGGGCAAAAAAAAGGATAGGTTAAAAGGAGACCAACAGAGAAGGAAAGTGGGATTGTAACTTTAAATCTAAAACTCCATTAATGCCCTAGGCTTCACCCCCAGAAGATCAAATATGTTAGAGTACCATAAATCCAGCTAATTAGTAGCTTTTTTTGGTTTAAAGAATGTATTTTTAGACTGATTAAAAGAAGCTGAGAGAGAGAGAGAGAGAGAGAGAGAGAGATTGTTAAAGACCCATGATGTAGGCACAGTCTAAGTGCTATATAGTAACTAGTAACATTAACCAGAAGACTTTACGAAGAACCAGACCACCATGACCTGCTCTGTGCAGCACAATCAAAGGAATTGAGCTAATCAGGCTGATGCCATCCCCTTATGATTGTCATGGTCACCATTTGCAAGGTTTCCTTCAAAAGAAGAAGCCTGAGACCCCCAAAACATGTCTCCCTCTTCAGTATCCACACTACTCCTCCCTTTGAGTCGGTATCCTGTGCTATTGTTTGCTTTTCTGAATGAACCTGGCTTTCCTCAACAAGTCTCCTTTGATGCAGCTTAAAATTTATTTCCATGGTGTAAGTCAAAAATCTGCCAGGCCGAGTTGAAGACCTTTCTCCCTTCAAGAGACCTCCTCAGGCATCATCCAGTGACACAGAATATCATTAGTTTTTGGCTTGAGTTCTTTCACATATAATTCAGTTTATTGCAATTTTTGTAAATTTTTTCTGCTTAAAATAATTGTTACCAAACAACAGTGTGATGCCAACTGAACATAAGACAATAAAACAATCTTCATTGCATATTCAAATATAACAAGTCAAGATCCCAAAACAATTCTAAGATGAAAAAAAAAAGATGGAGGTATCATAATATCAGAATTCAAATTATATTACAGAGCTATAGCAACAAAATTGCATGATACTGACATAAAAACAGACACATAAGCCAATGGAACAGAATAGAAGACACAGAGACAAACCCACATAGACATAGTCATTCAATCTTTGACAAAGGTACCAAAAACGTACATGGAAGAAAAGACAGTCTTTTAAATAAATGGTACTAGGAAGACTGATTATCCATATGGAAAAAAATGAAACTAGACCTTTACCTCCTACCCTGAACAAAAAATCAACTTAAATGGATCAAAGACCTTAGACCAGAAACTATGCAACTCCTAGAAGAAAATGTATACACTTCAGTGTATAGATTTCTTTAAAAGGTCCAATAAATGTTAGAGTACCATAAATCCAGTTAATTAATAGCTTTTTTGGTTTACAGGATATATTTTTAAAGAAATCTATACATTCTAGCATATAGGCACAGGCAACAGCTTTCTCAATAGCACCCCTAAAGCTCAGGACATAATGCTCAGGACATAATAAATGGGATGACATCAATTTAAAAAGCTTCTGCACAGCAAAGGTAGCAATTAAGAGTGTGAAAAAAAGAACCTATAAAATGAGAGAAAATCTTTGCTAGCTACTCTTCTGGCAGAAGAGTAATATCCAAAATACATAAAGAAGTGACCAAAAAAAAAATACCTCACACCGGAAAAACAAATAACCTAATTAATAAATGAGCAAATGAATTAAACACATACTAGTCAAAAGAAAAATATATACACCAGGCTCTGTGGCACACATGTGGAATCCCAATGGCTTGGGAGGCTGAGTCAGGAGGATTACAAGTTTAAAGCCAGCCTCAACAATAGCAAGGCACTAAGCAACTCAGTGAGACCCTGTTTCTAATAAAATACAACTTAGGGCTGGGGATGTTGCCCAGTGGTTGAGTGCCCCTGAGTTCAATCCCCTGTACCCACCCATCCCCCCCCAAAAAAAAAGAAAGAAGAAAAATACATGAAATACATGTATTCAGCAAATACATGAAAAATGTTCAACATCCTTAGCAATTAGGAAAATGCAAATCAAAACTACACTGAGATTTCATATCACTCCAGTTAGAATGGTGGTCATCAAGAATACAAACAATAATAAATGCTGGAAAGAATGTGGAGAAAAGGAATAGCTTTACACTATGGTAGGTTATAAAGTACTAAAACCACTATGGAAAACAGTATGGAGGTTCCTAAAAAGACTAGGCATGGAACCACCATACAACCCAGCTACACCACACCTCAATATTTATCCTGAAGAATTAAAGTCATCATACTATACTGATAATTCATACCCATGTCAATAGCAGCACATTTCACAATAGCCAGACTGTGGAATCAGCCTAGGTGGATGAATGGGTAAAGAAAATGTGATACATATACACAATGGAGTTTTATTCAGCAATAAACAAAAAATGAAATTAAGTCATTTGCATGAAAATAGATGGAACTGTGAAGATTATGTTAAGTGAAATAAACCAATCTCAAAAAGTCAAGGGTCATGTGTTTTCTCTCATATGTGGAAGCTAGAGAGTAAAAAGGAAAAGAAAGATATGTGTGGTGGGGGGATCTCATGAAAACCAAATGGATATCACTAGAGTAGAGAAAGGGAATGGGAGGCAAAAGAGGTGAGGGAAAGGGGAAATACTGGGCAATGACACTGGCCAAATTATATTATTAGTGTGCACATATGAATATGTAACAATGAATCCCACCATTATGGATAAGTGAGAAACTGATGTGACTCCATTTTTGAGAAACCAGCCTCTACCTCAGAGCAAAGCCTGTCCAAGGAAGTGGGCATTACCCTTGTCCTTGGAAAAACCCACAGAGCGTTCCTAGGCACATACCCACCCTGCTGAGTTGTATATCTACAAATAACAGGAGAGATCTGCATGCGGAGCCAGGTGTCCCTGACTCAGTCAGGCTAGGTGGGGACCCATAGCAACCCCCTAGCAACCACCAATCAGCATGAGACTGGGAAAATACCTGGGATGCCACATGACCTTCCCAGTAGTTTATGGTGGTTGATAACATGTTGGGAAACCATGTAGTTCAGCACGTACACCCCTCGTGGTTTAAATCAATCAGTTCAAACGAATCCCCCTCTTGTAGTAACCAATCACCCCTACCCAACTTGTTCCCACCAGTGAATGCGCTAATCATGTTTTAGAGTTGTTTTATGATTTTCCCGCGATGTGTGATGATTTGCTAAGAGATGCTATGATGTATGTGAAGTCCCTGCCTTCCCCAAAGAGTGTTTAAAACTGCTGCAAACCCTGGGCTCGGGGCCTCTCAGCGTCACCAGATGCTGTGTGCGCAGAGGTCCGAGCTAGCTTACAATAAATGCCTCTTTGCTGCTTACATCAATCTTAGTCTCTGGTGGTCTTTTGGGGGTCCCCAAACTCGAGCATAACATTAGTACAATGCAACAATAAAAAAGTGGAGAAAAAGTCAATTCTCCATTTAATATGACAGTAATTTATAGTAAATTAAAGAGGAATTTAAGAATATTTTTTAAGAAATAACAATCTGAAGTAGGTAATTATGAGAAAGAAAATCATTAAAACAACCAAACCCAAGAGGTTCTGCCACAAACCCCAAGGTGAGAGATCCATGCCCTGGACTGTCAAGAATTCTTCTCCGGTACATCTAAAATAAAAGAAAAAAAAAAAAAACTACATTTATAGTATTTGTCAAGTTCTATTGCATATATTCACTGTTCCTTTGTTAGAGAAGCCTATAGGTAACCAAATTGTTAGTAGTTAGCCCTTTAAAACTAATAGCTAATAGTTGATGAATGCTAACAATTGTGCTAGATACTATGCTAAGCAACATGTACCTAATAGTTTACTAATCCCTAAAACAATCCGAAGGTGTATAGATATTACGCTCATTTTAAAGAGGAGGAACAGGAGGTTTAACAAGCCTGGGCAAGTTTATAAAGTCACACTATGAACCAAAATTTTAGCTTCCTCAGATTCACTCTTTTCCAGATCTATAATGCTGCTTCCTTAAAAGGAAAATTTGATCAGGTGACCTTTCACTTATTCCTTATAGTGAACCCTCAGCTTTACCTGATGGTATCTATAGCCCTTGCTAAGATGGTCAAAGCTCCTATAGTTCCACTCACCCACAAGACAGCCATTCAAAAGAACTGAGGCAAGAATTCCAAATCTGAGGGAAAAAAACGAGGGAGGGCTTTCTGCCAAAGTCATGTTCTCTCAGCTCTCACACCAAGACCCTACTGAGGAGTATGGAAACCCAGCTCGAGGATGTGACCAGCAGGCCCAGGAATCAGACTCAAACCTTAGGTAGCAGCTAGAGCAGAGCAGGATGCAGCATTCTTGCCACAGGTTAGAAAAGTGGCTGGTACTAAAAACACCTGGTGCCGCCACAATTATTGCCTGCTGCCATTCTTGTGCACCTCTAAGAATTTAGGCATTTCAAAAACATCCCTGGCCTCTCTTTGTTACTGAAGAAGCTTCCTCCTTCCTCTTGCGAGAATGAGCCTTCTGTGAGTGTGAAGCCTATGGCCACTCCTCCTTATCTGGTCCTACTTTTTCCATCCATTTCCTGCCCTGAACAGCAGGGGGCCAGCAACTGTGTTACAAAGATGCCACACCCATCTGAAACCAAAGAGAGTACACAGGTAAAGAAAACCCCTCTCCCTAGAGGTTTTCCTCTCCGTCATTCAAAATAGAAATTTTTGCTCTTGCTAAGTATTATTTTCATACTCTCTAAAATTCCAGGAGAGATTTAGGATGCTAGGATTCTCTCTTCTCTCTCATTAATTCATGTTTCAAAATCAAACCATTAATAATAATTGTAGAAAACAAAAACATTACATGTTTAAAAGATCCTCTAATTTTATTAAAACCTGAATTTGTTTTAATGATATTGTGCAAAGCTAAGACTTCCATATCAACTTACTGAAATATGCGTTTCTTTCTTTAGAGGATACATTCTCAGATAGGGAGAATTCCAAGTTAGGTTACACACACACACACACACACACACACAATGCAGTCTTTGATTTCATGATTTCTGCCAAAGATCTAAGCTGAGAGAAGGCCGAGGATCTTAGTGGGGCCATACTCACTCCTCTTGGGCTATTGCTGCCCTGTTAGCTCTTAAATACTGTCCATGGACTGGACTTACAGGTAGCCCATAATCCATATATTCAGAGCCTATAACCCCTTGCTAAATTATAAAAGGAGCCCATGTCAATGCAAATGTTCTAAAAAGTGAGGACTGAAATTTAAAATCAAAACAATATTTCAAAAAGCACAAAACACAGATTTCTCCACAATTTTGACGGTTAGAATACAGGAGTTGTACAGCATGTTCATATACATTAGTACACAAGCACTCACTTTAAGAGGAGAAAACAGGTTTAGAAAGGTTTGCTGACCCTAAAATGACTCTTACCAGTTCTAAGCCTAAGGGCCTTTCTACACCACACCACAGTAACCAGCAAACCCAACCGGACATTGAATGCAAACTTACATCACATAGTTGCTGCAGGTATTGCTTCCTATTGTACCAAGTTCTAAACAGAAGTTCTGTCCCAAAAATTGAGTATGCTGCAGAGCCTATAACACAAGAGTGAGTGGGATAAGGTAAATGGCTGTGAATTTCAAAAAGTTCCCAAAAGATCATCATAATTATGTTCTTGAGTTTAATCATTACTGTTTCTAGAACATTCACAGAGAAACTCGCTAAAGAACTGAAGTATTTTCCCTAGCAGTCAGGAAGTCTCCGGTGGGGATGTTGTTTCTAATTGTCCAAGAATGGAAATCTCTGTCTAGATCATCCCTTAAACCCTTCCTTCTTCTCTCCCATTTCATAAACCCACAAACACAATAATTAAAATAATACCATGGTACTCGGTGAATTTTGTTGATTTATGGTAATGGTCTTGTTAATTGTCATCATGGGAATTAGAAACTTGGTTATACAATGAAACAGAAAGTTCACTTTGGAGCCAGTTAGTTTCTAAACCAATACAGCTACGAATATTATGTGGCCTTTGTTTTTCCTCTTATTTGCTTTTCAATATAAACTGTATGTTCTACTCTCCTCTCTTCTGATTATTTTCTTACTGAACTAAACACAACAATATGTTTTTCATCATTTAGTTAATCTTTCCCATTTGCTAGGAGATTTCTTCCCAACCGTCTTCTTCCTCTAACAATAAGGTGACTTGGAAAACCCCAGATGACGTCCAGACCTTCTTTAAACCAAGGCTAAGAGGATATACTCATGCATTCCTCCTGAAAGACAATTCCCAGAAGGGAGGTTCATATCTCATGACTGGGGAAATTAGATCGTTAGGCTTTTTATTTTGATTGTTCCCAGTTTGGGAACCCAACTTGAGGACAAAGGAGGACAACTTACCCTAAAGCCATAATGAGGAATACTTAAGTACTGAAGCCAAGAAAGCTTAGATGGAATAGTTCCAACATACAGTGAGATAACCAGAAAAACCTACAGAAAGCAAAAACCAAGCATCAGAACCAGTCCAGTGACTTCATGAGGAATTCTAAACAAGACCTTCTTCAAGAACCCTAAGACCCCTAAACATTTCTGCTAGAAACAACTCTCTTGAAATTCTTCCTACTTACGTTAAACACTAATATTTGTCCTTTGCTTGTGTATCTCTGCATAGCTAAGGCAGTTTATGGTATTAAAAGAAGGACAAGGGCTGGGATTGTGGCTCAGCAGTAGAGCGCTCACCTAGCAAGTGCAAGGCCCTGGGTTAGATCCTAAGCACCACATAAAAATAAATAAATAAAGGTATTATATACAACTACAATTAAAAAAATAACATTAAAAAAGAAGGATAATATACCTATCATCTATATTTATACATTCCACTTATTTGGAAGATTCTTAATTATCAACACGATGTCCTCACCTTTCTTCTGTAACTGTATACAATGAAAGATTAAGAAGTATGGTTATCCTTTGGTATCCTATGAAGAATGATTCCAGTAGGTAGAACCAACATCATCAAAATGGCGATATTACCCAAAGTTCTCTACAGGTTCAACGCAATGCCATTCAAAATCCCAACGGCATTTCTTGTAGAAATAGATAAAGCTATCATGAAATTCATATGGAAAAACAAAAGACCCAGAATAGCAAAAGCAATTCTAAGCAGGAAGTGTGAATCAGGCGGTATAGCGATACCAGATTTCAAACTGTACTACAGAGCAATAGTAACAAAAACAGCATGGTACTGGTACCAAAACAGGCAGGTGGACCAATGGTACAGAATAGAGGACACAGAGACCAATCCACAAAATTACAACTTTCTTATATTTGATAAAGGGGCTAAAAGCATGCAATGGAAAAAGGATAGCATCTTCAACAAATGGTGCTGGGAAAACTGGAAATCCATATTCAACAAAATGAAGCTGAACCCCTTTCTCTCGCCATGCACAAAAGTTAATTCAAAATGGATCAAAGAGCTTGATATCAAATCAGAGACTCTGCGCCTGATAGAAGAAAAAGTTGGCTCCGATCTACATATTGTGGGGTCGGGCTCCAAATTCCTTAATAGGACGCCCATAGCCCAAGAGTTAAATACGAGAATAAACAAATGGGACTTAATTAAACTGAAAAGATTTTTCTCAGCAAGAGAAACAATAAGAGAGGTAAATAGGGAACCTACATCCTGGGAACAAATTTTTATTCCTCACACTTCAGATAGAGCCCTAATATCCAGAATATACAAAGAACTCAAAAAATTAAACAATAAGATAACAAATAACCCTATCAACAAATGGGCCAAGGACCTGAACAGACACTTCTCAGAGGAGGACATACAATCAATCAATAAGTACATGAAAAAATGCTCACCATCTCTAGCAGTCAGAGAAATGCAAATCAAAACCACCCTAAGATACCATCTTACTCCAGTAAGATTGGCAGCCATTATGAAGTCAAACAACAATAAGTGCTGGCGAGGATGTGGGGAAAAGGGTACACTTGTACATTGCTGGTGGGACTGCAAATTGGTGCGGCCGATATGGAAAGCAGTATGGAGATTCCTGGGAAAGCTGGGAATGGAACCACCATTTGACCCAGCTATCGCCCTTCTCGGTCTATTCCCTGAGGACCTTAAAAGAGCATACTATAGGGATACTGCCACATCAATGATCATAGCAGCACAATTCACAATAGCTAGACTCTGGAATCAACCTAGATGCCCTTCAATAGATGAATGGATAAAAAAAATGTGGCATTTATACACAATGGAGTATTACGCAGCACTAAAAAACGACAAAATCATGGAATTTGCAGGGAAATGGATGGCATTAGAGCAGATTATGCTAAGTGAAACTAGCCAATCCTTAAAAAACAAATGCCAAATGTCTTCTTTGATATAAAGAGAGCAACTAAGAACAGAACAGGGAGGAAGAGCATGAGGAAAAGATTAACATTAAACAGAGACGAGTGGGGGGAGAGAAAGGGAGAGAGAAGGGAAACTGTATGGAAATGGAAGGAGATCCTCATTGTTACACAAAATTACATATAAGAGTTTGTAAGGGGAAAGGGGAAAAAAACAAGGGAGAGAATTGAATAACAGCAGATAGGGTAGAGAGGGAAGATGAGAGGGAAGGGGAGGGGGTATAGTAGGGGATAGGAAAGGCAGCAGAATACAACAGTCACTAATATGGCATTATGTAAAAATGTGGATGTGTAACCGATGTGATTCTGCAACTTGTATTTGGGGTAAAAATGGGAGTTCATAACCCACTTGAATCAAATGCATGAAAGATGATATGTCATGAGCTTTGCAATGTTTTGAACAACCAATAAAAAAATTAAAAAAAAAATTTAAAAAAAGAATGGTTCCAGGATCCCCCTTATCTCCAAATCACAGATAACAAAATCTGCTGAAGCTAAGTCCCTTATTTTCAAAATGACATAGTATTTGCATGTAACCTAAGTACATCATTTATACTTTAAATCCTGTCTATTTTAAATCATCTCCATATTTGTTATGATACCTAATACATTGGGCATACTATATAGTTTAAGGAATAATGACAAGAAAAGAAAACGTGCAAATATTCCATACAGACACAATTATGGGACTGTATAGTTTTCATTAACAGTTGGTTAAATCTTTGGATAAAGAACCCATGGACATGAAGTGCCAACTATACTGACTATTTGGACTACATCACCACTATCTGTTCCCCTAATAAGCCTGGCAATCTAGAAACATATACCAGAAAACTCCTGAGCAGCACATATCCTTCTCTACAAAATTTTACATTTCATATACATTAATTTAGAAATAATTTGACATTCAGAATGCAAGGTTAAGATAACCAGAAGCCTAGAACTGATAATGAGCACGATGTGGTGAAGCCCATCAGAAATTTGGTCAATGCCTCCATTTAATGATAGCAGAAAGCAGTATCACAGTGAAGATGCCAGGAAGGACTTCTGGAGACACACAAGAGGCAGCTAGAGGTTCACATGACACTAGTCCTAACTACTGTGAAGTATACTGGGATGTGCAAAACAATGACAATGTTATGATGTGTCTGCATATGTTTAGACGTGACCTAACAAAGTGCTTATTATATCACAGGCACCTCTGAGTGAAATACATTTTTTACCACCAGTTTTAAAGTTCCATAAAGAAACTTTTACATAATAATCAGTCATCATCAAATAACTCAAACAAAATATTTTTATCTATTGGATGATAACATATGAAATACATAAACAGGACTTTCTCAATGATATACATTTGGAGTTGCCACATTCATAAATGGAGGAACTAAATTTTGGCAACAGTTTGTGCTAATTATGTAGCACTTAAAGACATCAATTCCTGCCAGACTTTGTGGCACATGCCTGTAATCCCAGCTACTCAGAAGGACAAGACAGGAGGACTAAATTCAAGACTGGTCTGGGCAATTTAAGGAGATTCATTTTCACAATAAAATTAAAAGAAAGGAATGTAGCTCGGTGGTAGAACATTTGGCTAGCATAAGTGAAGCCCTGTGTTCAATCCCCAGCATCTCAAAATGGAAGGAAGAAAGCATGGAGATAAGGAGCATTACTAATATAAGAGGTTGTCAGGAACTCAGAAAGGAGGTAACCTAGTATGGACTTTGGAATTTTCCAATATTTTAAAAGCATTACTTTCCTAAACATAAGAGGCACCCAACTTATACCACCCACATGGTGCTGCACACTGTTACCCTTCTCAGGGAGCTTCGCTTTCAACTTGGAGAGAAGTGAATTCAGCTAAACTATCTCTGCTATGGGTAAACAGCCAGCAGTTCAGAACATCAGCATGAAAGGAAGATTGACAACCAATCATATTTTACAAGGGAATCATCCAACCATAATTATTCTGATGTTTAAGTTTTAATTTATCAAGTTTTTATATGTCACCAAGAAATGTCTTTTAAAAGCTCATTAGAAAGGACATGTTAGTTAATGTTATAGGAACCACATTAGTACAGTGCAGAGGAAAGAGGCCTGTTTTTTTTAATAAACTATATCACAGTCTATGAACTCCTGAAAATGTCAGAGTTCCATGTACGGAATCCTCAAAGCAGGTTTTATTCAACAGGTAGCGGAACAGAAACAAACCAGGAGGGAAATTCCCTCTCATACTCACCATCATAAACACAAAATAGAAGTTCATGAGGAGTGTTGACAGATAGTGCAGATTCTGGCCTGTTGCCATGGCCAGGGACAAAGAACTGGCCGTGTACGTCACCATCGTAACAGTGAATATCGTGATGAAGAAAGCCCCTGCCTCTGGTTTCAATCCTGAGACAGAACAGAATGGGTCAGTCCAGCTACCTAGGTCACCATGTATTCAGGATTGTTTATTGTTCAAACAGCACTATATTATTCTGGGAAACAAATATCAGAATAAAAGAAAGTCACCATCTCACCATCCAACTACTCTTGGATCAATTTCACTTTTCCCTGGAGGGGAATATGAGTGCATAAAGTTATATCATCCTGTTTTATTTTATAAACTTACTGAAAAAACACTTTTCCATATAATACCTAAGCTCCTTTATGTGCAACTATGAACAATTTCTGAGTTGCTGAGATGGAGACATACAGCCACACAAATGTCCAAAATTCTGCTGCCTTCTCCTGTCATTGGAAACTCATCAACAGCACCTTCTATATCCAAATGTCGCCACATTACGCACTGTCTGCGACAACCAGTGCACTGGTGAAGAATCTGGGATCAGGATTCCACGACCTCATAGTAGTTTTAATATTTAGGGGAAAGTAAAGTATCTCTGTAATCTATGTCCCCCTAGACAAACCATCAAATGATCCTGTGATTGAGATTGAAGCTTAGTGAAATTTTCCTAAACTACTTTATAAACTATAATGAGCTAATGATATGGGTCACAGAATCTGAAGATTTTAGAATAGACCCAAGAACACTGATCAGGAGTCTGTGGGTTGGGAGGCATCTATATTCCATTACAAATTCTTTATGACACATCTCTGACTTGTGAAATAGAAAGTTTAAACTCTATCAGTATTTTTGTTGTTTTTGTTAATTGAGTAATGTATTGGGTTTTTTTGAAGAAATTTCTGGTGTATATGTGTGTTTTGTGTGTGTGTGTGTGTGTGTGTGTGTGTGTGTGTCTACACTATGAAATATATACAATTTTGATTAAATGACCTGGGGTGAAGACTGAGCATAATGCACAAATATATCTGCCTACATCCATCAAATAAGTATCATTATTAAATCAATAAACTTATAAAGTCACCATCTTTCCCTCATTAGAGAATGAGAGGAAGAGAGAATATATGTGTATATTGCTTTTTACCTCTCTTTACATATATTGTATGTATATATATATATACATATATATGTGTGTGTGTGTGTATCACTATAGATATTAGATACTACCTATCTATAATTTATGTAGAAATATAATTTATGGAGAGCTATAGAGGAAAATAAGATAGGCAATAAACATCTTGGTTTCTTCAGCATAATTTCAAGTATAAATTCTTTCCATATTTACATATGAAGCAGATCAACTCTCAGTATAATGTAGTTTTATAGTTTTAAAAGTTCAAATGGGGAAAAAGTCTTGAAAACAATGTCCACATTGAATAGCTATTTGCTTATTTATTTACTTTTGTACTAGGGATTCAATCCAGGGGTGCTTTACCACTGAGCTACTTCCCCAAACCTCTCCACCCCAATTTTTTTTTGTCTTACTAATGTGCTGAAGCTGGCCTAGAACTTATGATCCTCTTGCTTCAGCTACCCGAGCTCTAAGATAACAAGTGTGCACCACCACACACAGCAGAACAGCTATTTTAGAGAATGCATAATGAAAACATGCTTCCCAATCTCATGTCTTGGTTTATAGTTTGGATAACCAAAATGATTCTTGGGGAAAAAAATTGGCTTCACCTCATATCCAGGACAAGACACAGCCTCTCTGTCTTGTTACTTACCTGCCATGAAGTATATAATACAAATGAACAGCATACTTGGCAACAACTTCCTGGGTAATAAATCAAATAACAATTTTCCAAAGAAATAACATGGCAATCTGTAGTATCCACTGATGTACTCGTGTCTATAGGGGGAAAAAACACACACACACCACACATTTTAGATTAGTCCAAGAAGGCACAGCCCAGATGAGATGCTGCTCTGCAGATTCCTGCTGCCACCAGGTCTGATACTGCACCTGCCCATAGGCTCCAGGCTGACCGCCCCCCCCCACCCACACACACACCCTTCTCTCCCTCAAGTGCAGCCTCCCTGGGGAATCAGCCCCACAAGGCTCTAACTTGGACCCTCTCTCATGACAGCACCCCTCCTGCTGCTGCCCACTGTAGTGCACATCACCCCTCCAGGGACACCATCTACATCTCCTCACTCTCCTCAGCCACCGTGTTTGTCCTCTGAGACTGGCTCTGACTGAAGAGTGGAACTCCAGTTATTAAGGAACTCAGTGGTAGCAGAGGCTTTTCTTCTCCCCACTTCTGAGTGTGAAGAAAGCGATTTGTTTTTTTCCAAGGCCACTAATGCATCTACACATCTCTAAACTCCTTTATTTCTATTTTCATGTTAAAAAAAAAAAGAAAAAGTTTTCTTCCTTCAATGATCACACCTCCATTGTGCAGCCCCGTCACTACTAAATCCCCATATTTCCTCTTCCTGACATTTTTCTCCTATAATTCCAAAATCTTCCACCAATGTCTCCATTCCTCTCCTCTAGGAATTCTCATCTTTGGCATGTAAGTATGAGCAAATATCTTCCATGTTTGAAAAGCAGAAGAGACAAACCCAGTCTGCTCTTTACTGTAAGGCTGCCTTCTGGCTCTTTCCACTCCTTTATCTACCAGGATTAAACCTTTTCACGTTCTTCATCAGTTTATCTCCCACCTCCGATTTGCTCCTGATCCCAGTACTTAATCATTTCCAAGCTCCTCAAGCTTTTCTTGGAAACATTATCAAGACCTGTTGTTTTCTAAGCCAGGCATGGTGGCAAATGCCTGTGATCCCAGTGGCTCAGGAGAGTGAAGCAGAAGGATCACAAGTTCAAGGCCTGCTTCAGCAACTTTAGCTCTTTTATTGCTTGCTCTCTCTCTGCAGCATTGGGATTTGCTGACCACACCTTAACCTTAGGACTCCCTGTTTCCTTGGTATCAGGTCCCACACAATTTTGATTTTCTCCCCACCTATGACTACTTTTTCTCAATTAACATTGGAAATCCCTATGTATATTGCAAATGCTTTTATTGTATATGATTAATATGTAGAATTCCTATCTGTCAATTAAAGAAATAAAAGAAAACAAAAATACTGCTAATCCTTGGGTTCACATTCTTGGCCCAATTATGTATGTGACCTGTTTGTCCCCAGTTGCCAATGCCCCTTCATAGAACATAGACCTACTCACATAAAGAGTTTCCTCTCGACCACAAAGATCTGCCCAGCTAATATGCTGCTGAAACACTCATAGACCACCAGCACGAGAAGCAGCCCAGCTCTGCCAGGACAAAATGGAAATAGACACCCTGCAGTCAATTCAATACGACACCAGTTTTCTACCCACAGAATTCTTTACACAAATGATATGACATTAAAAGTTATTTTTTAAAAATAGAACTGTTCTGCTTGAAACAGAGAAACATGACCCCATCAAGTCTCTCTCCCACTGTTTCCACAGTGATTTTCCATAATCCCATATCATAGCACATTTTGAAATTCATGGTCTTAGTTTGCTGGGAACTCAAGAATTCCCCACTTAAATTATTAAGCTGAAGAAATTACTACCATCTGGGTGTTACTGGGAGGTAGATGATTTGGTTTACATGATTCATGAAAGTGGAGCACCCAAGACAGGATTAGTGCCCTTAGAAGAAGGAGAAAAACCAGATGTTCTGAGATGACAGGGCACAGAATGAAGGTAGGAAAGGACATTCACAGGAGCCTGACATTGCTGGAACAGAACCGTGACCTCAGACTTCCAGTCTCTAAAATTGAGAGAAAATAAATTTCTCTTTTCTAAGGCACAATGTCAGTAGTGTTTTGTCATGGCAGCCAAAACTAATACTTAGGTCATAAAAATATTGTCATCTTCATCTTAACTAAAGAACATGCCAAGGGCTGGGGTTGTGGCTCAGTGGTAGAGCGCTTGCCTAGCACGCCTGGGACACTGAGTTCGATCCCCAGCACAACATAAGAAAACTAAATAAACAAAATAAAGGCATTGTGTCTATCTACAAATTAAAAAAAATTTAAAAAAATAAAGAAAATGCCAAGTATCATTCCTAACGTATAAACAGAGAAACAGTGAGCTACATAAAGCCCAAAGGGTGAAAACATTTTATTACTAGTTTGGTTTTCAAGTGGAGTAAAAGTAGGTAAGATGGACATGGAAGGAAATGCCAGACAGTGGAAGGAGTCCTCACTCAGCTCTAACTACAGACACCCTACACACGGCCATCAGAAAGCCTTGACCAATAGCCTTGACCTAGCCACCTTCCTATCAGGTTTCCAAGGTGCTCAGAAAAGAAATTAAGGCTATGCTTATTTATGAGTTAAAAAAGTAATTTGTGTACCTATGTGAAAAGGAAGAATTTTAATGCTCATATTTCTGTCAGATTCAGAGACAGAAAGTAGAAGTGGTTGTCAGAGGTTAGGAGAGGTTTGTAAGGGGAATTGCTCTTTAATCGGGCTAGAGATTCCATTTGAGAAAACAAAAAAAATAAAAGTTCTGGCATTTGATAGTGGTGATAGTTGCACAATATAAATGCACTTAATGCTGCTGAACTGTGTACTTAAAAAAATGGTTGAAAGGGTAAGATTTGTGTTCTGTGTAGTTTACTACTATATATATACATGTACATATGGGAAGAAGAAAATTAACTCTGTTTTCAGTGCACTAACTCATTGTACCCCACAAAACAATAACATCTGGCCCATACTTATAAATTCAAATATTGACGGATGTCTGCAAGAATGAATAAAGTAACAACAGTTTTTCAAAATCAAGATCCAAATTTACTTACCTACTCTCCGTTTTCATACAACTATTTGTTAGCCCTTGGAAAGTGGCACCTACAAACACTCCAAGTATGACTGTGGCAATTATCTTTTTGGAAAGAAAAAGGACAGCATTTAAATGAGAGGTGAAAAATTTTGACCATCATTTATACCATTGTAATAGATATGGCTGCATAATCAAAATTTGTCCATTGAGATAAACACTTTAAATGGCTTGGCCAGATTTTCTGGGAGAATATAAAACAGTGTATGTTATTAATGCTTTCTAAACTAAATTGAAAATTAACATATCTGTTGTTTGGGGAACTAAAAGCAAATGACTGTACAAGCTAAGATTCTCCCATATCTACCAGGCACTGCCAATGTAGGGTTTAGTCTGACTCAGGAACTTATGAATAGAATTCATCAAATAAATTAAGGTATAATGTAACCCATGATCCTTTGCTATTTGAAACATCCTTAAGAAAATTTTTATCATTAAAAAATGATGTTTGTATGGTCTCCTTAGGAGTCATCCACACAGATTGAATAGGTGCAGATGGTTGAGGAGGATGAAGGATTAGCACTTCAGCTGTGATGTGTTAACTGTTGGCTTCACTGGCCAAGGTTGATAGAGAGGCAGTGACAGAGGAGATGGTAATGGAAGCACTGGGGTGCCCCCAGAGAAAGCTAACTGAATTATTTGGTGACTATAAAATGCACTTTCCCATACAGGCAGGAACCCCAAAGGTAGAGGTGAGGCCCAGGTCATGCCTACTTCCTTGTTGTGCAAAATTCCATTTTTGAAGTGTGTTTCTAAATTTTTATTATTTATTTTGCACTACTTGGAATTGAACCCAGGGTCTTGTACAATCTTAGGCAAACACTACATTCCTGGCCCTGAAACTGAATTTATGTATAATGATAAGCGTAAAGATAGCCTGTTTTTGTTTGAACTTCTTGAATTATGAAACTGTGCATGTTAGCTGTCAAAAAGGCTGAGAGTTCAGTTCAAGACCAAATTCTAGGCCATTTGGACTTTATTTTATTCCCCAACAACTTCCTCAGGTCCTGCATGGCTATGCTACCCTGTGTGGCAAGATAGATTTGGGTCGACTTTTAATAGCTGGAGGAAAAAAGATCAAGAATAATATTTCTTGTAATATAAAATTTATAATCAAACTTCAGTGTCCAAAAATAAAGCTTTATCAGAATACAGCCAGGTTCACCTGTTTATGCATGAGTTATGGCTGCTTCGTGCTAAAACGGCAGGGTTGACTACCTGAGACAAAGACCATATGGCCTGCAAAACTTAAAATATTTACCATTGGCCCCTTACCAAATAGGTTTGCCTATTCATATACTAACACTCCAATATTCACAAACCTGAACAAGAGTTCAGGGGGCTACCTACACAGCTGAACCTTAGAAACCGGTGAGGGGCAAAACCAGTGAGAAACACTTATAGAGAGAAAGCTGGGATCAGGTGGGACACAGAAAGTTCCCAGTGCAAGTGTAGCCACAACCATAAGGCAGTCAAAGACCATGATTCAAGTCACTGCTCTCCACAGTTCTACCCTTATTTTAGAGACTGATAATTCTCTGAATGTTGCTGGAACTCCTTTTGAGTTTATTGATGAAGTAAGTTGGCTGTTTGCACCTTAAGGAAGCCTAGACCCAAAACAGGCACAATCCTGGTGTACAAGTAACTGTGTTCTGATAATGCCCTGCCCAGAACTCCTGTGTATGTAGCTTGGAAAAGATACTTATAAACCACTTTTTAAACGCAAGTAAGGAAAACTTAATGCATAAATCACACGAAAGAATCTACTCATTTCATCATCTCCTGCTGAACAGTGGGTAACCTAAGTTGATGGCTCTAATTCAGCTGGCATGATTCTAAATGAAATTTAAAATATTTTAAAGAATAAAACATTACTCTTCATTGATAGGACACAAAATTGCTTGTGTTCTGAAATAAATTACAAATAACAAGGCTAAAAAACATTCAGAGAAATTGAGTCCACTAAGGGTGAATCAAATAAGGATATATGTTCTCAGGTACACTAAATATGAAAATTATAGTGCACATGTTAAGAAGTCAGTAGTATTTCATTAGTACTGACAACATGCTATCTTTCCATACTCAACAGAAATTTAGTGATTGATAATAAAAATAACAGTCCCCAAACAACCAGGTGAATTATAGATGATAGATCAATGAACTGGGAGAACTAGTGTTTTGCGTGACACACAGGTTACGAATAACAGCAAAACTTTGAAGAGTGATAATCAATAATTATTACAGAGCCAGACAAAAGCAGAAAAGAACATTATCTCATCTTAAAGGAGTTAGCTACACAGTGAATAGCCTCATTAAGCCTGATTATTACCTGTGTATAAACTGAAAACTCTTTAAGGTATCTAGTGCTTTCCAAAGATAAGAATCTTTAAGTAGGAAGGTCAATAATAATAACAACACTCTGCATTCAGGCTCTTCCTTCAGACAGTGGACAGTTCAGACCAACTGCAGGTATATTCAACAACTCCAGGTTTCCCTCACTGCCTGATTTCAACTGTAAACCAACGCTCTTCTCTCTACTTCTTCTCTGTCCCTCCCCTACCTTCATCCCTTCTCTGCTTAATCTTCCTGCATAGTCTCTTCTGTCATCTGACATGCCATCTATTTTCTTTATTCAGTTATCATTGTCTTTTGCTATCATAATAAGTCCCATGAGAGCAGAGATTTTAATTTTACCCATTATTCACCAGTGTAACAGAGTCCCAAAGTGCAGCACATGATCTTATGTTGACATTGTTGAGTAAATTACTGGATGATAGGGGACAACTACTAGAATACCCCAAATAAGGCTGACTCTACATTTACATTACAATTTTTTTTTTGCTCAGATTACTCATTACAGTTTATTTCAATCATCAACAATTCTGAGTTAGGTGGCCCAAGTAAAAACTAAAACAAGCTTTACATGTTAAAATCTTGATTGTGTTTCACTTGTTCTATTGACTGTTTCTATATCCCAAATGAAGTGGGGATGACAAGTCGATGGAGGGGTGGGTAGAAGATACACAGAATCCTGAAGTGGACCACATCAGAACCAAATAGCTCCCACATGAGTACTTCACAACACAATGAAAAGAATTTGTCAGGTTACCTGAGCTATAGAGGCACGGGGAATACCCAGTACATTTTTGAAGGAACGCCTGATAATCCATCTGAGCTGATGACAGAAGGAGGTAACATAAGTGATTTTCTTGAAGGCTGAGCTCCTCTTCTTTTCCTGACCTCCTGAAAGTTCATCTAACTCAGCTTTGGTATCTCTGTAGAAGGAGGAGGTGGCATAATATTCAACTAATTTTTCTACGACTGACTTTTCTCTCTGAGAAAGCTGCTCAGTCTCGTTGGCTTTGGGATAAAAGTGGATAAAGAAGAGAAACATTATTAACAGGTTACTACTAAACTAATCCATTCTTCTACAACTCCTTTCTTGGATAACATTCTAATTCTAAAGCTTGAATATAAAAAGAACCACTAGCCTTGTCATTGCTTTATATTGTAGAAAAACACAGTGAATGAACCAGAACTACTGGTGTAATTTTATAGGTACAACACATTCACTGACTTTTTCCTATTTGCCTATTTCACAAAATAGATTCCTTACCACACAGTGGAATAATTCCTAATATAAAAATCTGGCCCTTCCTTTATACGCTGTATAAGTGCATAAAGAGCCCAGTTTCTTATTTCAAAAATAGCATAAAAATGAGAATATTTCTTATTGGGAACCCCCTTCCAACTGAAAGTATCATAGAGATGCTCATTTACAAATTAAAATTAAAATGCCCACAGCTCTATGAACAACAAAGTCTGTCTGTTGACTCATCAGAACACAGCATTAACATGAATTCACAAAGGCAGGTTTTAATGAGCCATCACATTGCTAAACTTCAGCCAAAGCAACTAGGCAAAATGAATCTAAGAGACTTACATACCTTCACAGTCTCCTTCCTCTCTGTTTAATCCCACAGCAGAAAAGTCTTCGTTAATGATATCCAGGAAGAAGTCCGCAGGGTTGTTGTAAGGTTCACATGGGTAACCTGAGAAAGAAAGCACCCCAAAAACTCAATATGATAGTCATGGAAGGTGAAGAGGACTCACTTCCAGAGGGTGATGAAGGTGAGGTTAGGGAAGACAGAATCTAACTTCTTATCTTCTCGTTCTCTGTTCTCAGTATTCATCTTTTCTCCTTATATATTCAAGTCACACAATATTTTATTTTTTTCCAGCTGATAGATAAGATATATCTATTATATAATAGATCTATTATATAATATAAAATATGGATAAATAAAGGAAATATTATTAACAGGTTACTACTAAACTAATCCAATCTAATAAATATATCTATTATATAGAGATATACCTATTATAAACATTTATATATCTATATAGATTTGATTTTCCACACCAATCATGGATTCTTTAGAACATCTTACATTAGTCCTTACCTATCATAAATCATGAAACCCAAATAGTCATCAATATGATCTGATGATTATTAGTACTCTTCCATAAAACTAAATCTGTGTCCAAGAAAAAAAGTGTTAAATGCTGGGGCTTGTTGTACTCTCAGAGTTCACATAGCAAATACTAGAACAGCAGTGCACCTATCTGCAAAACTAGTTTCTCCACCTTCTACATTCAGAGATCCAAATTATTATCTGTCCTTCTGCCATAATTCCAAATAGACAACAAATCCACAAAACAGCATTATCAAGAGAGAATGATTAGCACAGCACACCTAAGCTCTCACCTCAAGTCCTGTGGCACAATCATCTGAACTTGACCTGAGGTCTCACTCTTAAAATTTTTATCTTCTTTGGATTCCCTTAGACCCATATATGTTTGATCATTTTCAAATGACAGAGATTAAACAAAAGAAATTAAGAAAGACAGCTAATGAATATTTACAATGATATGTTAGGTCATGAGGACACATCTATAATCATACCCAAATATTTCTAAAATGAAGTAGATTGCACGAGCCATTTAAAATAATCACAAAATTCAATCTGATATAGAAAGAATCAGGCAGCCCAGAAATGTCAGAAATACTGGCCCATCAAAGTCAGATTTAGGACAAGATATTGTATTGACTAATAGCCACGTGCACTTATTCAAAGCCTAAATCTGCAATTTAATGTTACTATAAAGTTAAGCAACATCTCCATGAGCCCTCATCAGGGTATATAAGAAGATAACATAATGGAGGAAAAACTGAAATGCCATCATCTCTTATGTGGTCAAAACAATGACACTGGGTCATTCCATAAATGTTAATTGACTAACTGGCTCTAAGTTCACTACATTTATTACTGAACTTTCAGGGGGACGGTCATTATAACTGGGAAGCAGAGCAGACACAGGCCTAGTAGAAACATACATATATGCATACTCGTAGGACAGGATAAGGAAAGAGACCTAAACAACAAGTAAGTCCTGCAAAATGGAAAAAAAAAAAAAAAAAACTTCTGGCATCAAACTGACCAAAGATGTTTAGAGTGGTGGCACCCCAAGTAAATGCAAAGATCCAACAGGACTCTTGTTGCCCCTCTGTTCTCTATGATTCTATGAATTGAGGATTTAGTGCATGAAAAAGTCAGCCACACCTATTGATTCAAAGTACCCCAAAGCCTCCTGGGCAGGACCATGGAATATAAGTCTTCCTGAGGCCAATAATGTGAGGCAGTCAAACAGCTTGAAGATGGAATACTGAGGTTGATGAATGGAGAAGATGATTGTTCGTCCCTGCTCAGAAATCCTAAGTTAAAAGAGGGAAAATAACAAATCATTAAGCATCTGAACCTTGTACTTCTTTAAAAAGTACTTTATTCTGCCAGTAAGCCATTTGTTCCAATTTAACTTGATTTTCTCTTATAAAATTCTCATCTCATCTACTTGGTAGTTGAGGAACTTAAATTCAATGCATTTATTAAAAACACAAGGGCTTGTTAAGGATGGTGCATCAATATTCTAAAATTTACTAGAATGTTTATTGACAATACAGATTCCTAGACAGACCTCCTAGACCCTGAATCAAAATCCTGGGGTTGGGTACAGGAGTCATTTTTTTTAGTATTTATTTTTTAGTTTTAGGTGGACACAATATCTTTACTTCACGTTTATGTGGTGCTGAGGATCAAACCCAGTGCTTCCTGCATGCCAGGCGAGCACTCTACCACTGAGCCACATCCCAGCCTGGGAGTCATACTTTTAACAAGAAAAATATCTCAAATTTGAGGACTAATTAGAACAGGTGTACTCAAATTTGAGGACTGCCTGTTAGTAATTAGACCTTGGAGAAGGGACAGGTTGGTATCATTAGCAGGGCAGTGCCTTGCCCCTTCTCTCAACTAATCTATCTGGTAATTGTCTCTAATCTGTAGACCATTCCTCAAGTGGAGAACTTTGGGGGTTTGAAACAAGTCTGGGGTCTTTTAACCCAGGGGGAAAGGCACTGGTGTTATTCATAGCATGACCTGAGTTTGGAGAGCCTGTAACCAAAACTAAAAAGCAACTTCTTGAGGGATGGAGGACTCCTTGAAGCACTGCCAACATAAATCCACCTCAGGTAAGTAGTCAGAGTAACTTTTCAGGATTTCAAACCAAATGAGACACTTGTATTTCAGTAAATGTGTTCCTATGCTCGATGTTTTTGTTTCCCTTTAATTCTGATGTAAACATTTGTTGTGAAAAGAAAATGGGGCAGAAGGGTTTACAAAGTGAATGGAGGATAAAGCAACCAGCCAGAACAATTGGGAGACTGGTTGCATTAGAAAACTAAATTATTTGTTTGAGTAAGTAAGTGGATATATTGAGAAAATGGGAGTTACATCTTTCCCAGTCTGATGTCGCTTATAAACATGAAAGTGGCAAAGACTCAAAATGACATGGAGATTTTAGACTAGAATTCAAATAGTATTATAAACTGATGGGCTTTTTAATATGTACACACTAACAGAAACAGCAATAGTTACAGATGTATTTTTACATGGTTCTTTCTATTCCAATATATGTGCATATATGTACACACATATATGCACATGCACATAAAATATTTATATTCCACATATTTCTAAATAAAATATAAAAGTACTTTTCTACATGGTATACAAATATAAACATACACACCCATACATGTGTTTTCCTACATCTGCCTACAAAGGTCAATTGGCAATGCCAGTAGTAGTAACAGAGAGAACTAAAAAAGCAGACCTTGGTTTTCATTTATTTATTTACTTATAAATTTTTATTAATTTTTTAATATGTGACAGCAAAATGTATTACAATTCATATTACACATATAGAGAAATTTTTCATATCTCTGGTTGTATACAAAGTATATTCACACCAATTCATGTCTTCATACATGCGCTTTGGATAATAATGTCCATCACATTCCACCATCATTTCTCACCACATGCCCCCTTCCTTCCCCTCCCACCCTTTTGTCCTATCTAGAGTTCATCTATTCCTCCCATGTTCCCCCTCCCTACCCCACTATGAATCAGCCTCCTTATATTACAGAAAACATTTGGCATTTGTTTTTTGGGGATTTGCTAACTTCACTTAGCATTATCTTCTCCAACACCATTCATTTACCTGCAAATGCTATGATTTTTATTCTTTCTTATTGCTGAGTAATATTCCATTGTGTATATATGCCACATTTTTAAATCCATCTATTGAAGGGCATCTAGGTTGGTTCCACAGTTTAGCTATTGTGAATTGTGTTGCTATAAACATTGATGTGGCTGTGTTCCTGCAGTTTTTAAGTCGTTTGGGTATAAACCAAGGAGAGGGATAGCTGGGTCAAATGGTGATTCCATTCCCAGTTTTCCAAGGAATCTCCATACTGCTTTCCATATTAGCTGCACCAATTTGCAGACCCACCAGCAGGGTATGAGTGTACCTTTCCCCCCACATCCTCACCAACAATTATTGTTGTTTGTCTTCATAATAGCTGCCATTCTGATTAGAGTGAGATGAAATCTTAGAGTGGTTTTGATTTGCATTTCTCTAATTGCTAGAGATAATGAACACTTTTTCAAATATTTGTTTATTGATTGTATATCATCTTCTTGAGAAGTGTCTGTTCAGATCCTTGGCCCATTTATTGATTGGGTTATTTGGTTTTTTTGGTGCTTAGCTTTTTGAGTTCTTTATATACCCTAGAGATTAGTGCTCTATCTGATGTGTGAAGGGTAAAAATTTGTTCCCAATATGTTGGCTGTCTATTCACCTAACAGATAGTTTCTTTTACTGATAAGAAACTTTTTAGTTTGAATCTATCCCATTTATTGATTCTTGATTTTAATTCTTGTGCTATAGGAGTCTTATTAAGAATGTTGGGACCTAATCCCACATGATGGAGATAAGGGCCTACTTTTTCTTCTATTAGACACAGAGTATCTGGTTGTGTTCCTAAATTCTTGATCCATTTTGAGTTGAGTTTTCTGCATGATGAGAGGTAGGGGTTTAATTTCATTTTGTTGCATATGGATTTCCAGTTTTCCTAGCACCATTTATTGAAGAGGCTGTTTTCCAATGTATGTTCTTGGCACCTTTGTCTAATATAAGATAAATGTAGTTTTGTGGGTTACTCTCTGTGTCCTCTATTCTGTACCATTGGTCTATCAGTCTATTTTGGTGCTGATACCATGCTGTTTTTGTTACTGTTACTCTGTATTATAGTTTAAGGTCTGGTATAGTGATGCTACCTGCTTCACTCTTCCTACTAAGTATTGCTTTAGCTATTCTGGGTCTCTTTTTGTTCCAGATGAATTTCATGATTGCTTTTTCTATTTCCATGAGGAATGCCATTGGGATTTTGATCAGAATTGCATTAAATCTGTAAAGTGCTTTTGGTGGTATGGATATTTTGATAATATTAATTCTGCCTATCCAAGAGCAAGGTAGATCTTTCCATCTTCTAAGGTCTTCTTTGATTTATCTCTTTAGGGTCTTGTAGTTTTCATTGTATAGATCTTTCACCTCTTTCATTAAGTAGATTCCCAAGTTTTTGTTGTTGTTGTTGTTTGGTTGGTTGGTTGGTTGGTTTTGTTTTTGAGGCTATTGTAAATGGGGTAGTTTTCCTCATTTTCCTTTCAGAGAATTTGTCACTGAAATACAGAATTGCCTTTGTCTTTATATCCTGCTACTTTGCTGAATTCATTTACTAGTTCTAGAAGTTTTCTGGTGGAACTTTTAGGGTCTTCTAGGTATAGAATCATATCATCAGTAAATAGTGCTAATTTGAGTCCTTCTTTTCCTATGTGTATCCCTTTAATTTATTTCATCTGTCTAATTGCTCTGTAGTATACACAGAAGTAATTAAATATTAAATAAATGAAAGAACAATATTCCCATAGCATTTACCTTTTCAGGAGCAAAAGGACAGTACTAGCTGTGCTCGAGTCTAAACCAGTTGTGGGTTCATCCAGGAACAAGATGGGAGGATCCATGATCAGCTCCATTGCTATGTTGGTCCTTTTTCTTTCTCCTCCAGATATAAACTGGGTTCCAACCTAAAACACAGTTATTGTTATTGTTTCTCTCACAAAGAAACAACCACAGTCACTGTCATTTGGTAGATTAGCCTGTGCCAGTCCTATTAGAGACACTTTATTTTGTTGTCCTTATTATTCTGAATGCAAATAAAGAGACATCTGAAAGAAGAGGGGGTTTCTCTTTTATTAGATGAGTGAAATGAGGCTCAGGACACAGGTTCCAAATGACTGGCCCAGATATAAAGGCTAAGCTTTTAACAGTTATGTATGTTTCTTATCAAGTTGCATATTTAGGTTTAGCATAAATAAGCTTGAACACTAAAAGATATGTCCCTGATAGTGGCATCACACTATAAAACAAGAAATAAAGATAGGAAAGGAAAAAGGAAAGTCTCTCTAATGATTTATTAGTCTTCTAACAACATCCCAGATACTGTTTCAAACAAAAGTCTCCAAGTGGATTTACAAAAAATAAACTCACAATCAAAGAAGCGTGCTTTCTACCACACCACATTAGCAACTTTTCAATGACTGCAAGTCTTTCCAAATTGACACTGTGCCCACCCCCAACTCATTGAACAATTCCTTGTTTGTTCTTTTAAAGCAAATCTAGAAGATGTGATATTCCACAGGGCCACTGTCTCAGTCTTTTCAACTAGTCAATGTGATTGTGTGTTGAGGGGAGTAGAAAGGTTTTGGGGAGACAGAAAGTAGCAAACAATTCTGAAATTCAGAGTCTCCAAAAGGATAATAATCAAATGCCTCCCAAGGCCTATGGCTGGGTCCTGTTAACAACTGAACTACAAAAGACATTTGGAGGGTTGGGGTTGTGGCTCATCAGTAGAGTGCTCACCTAGCAAGTGTGAGACCCTGGATTTGATCCTCAGCACCACATAAAAATAAATAAGTAAAGTAAAAGTATTGTGTCCAACTATGACTAAAAAATAAATATTAAAAAAAGACATTTATAGACAATTTGAAGAATGTGAATGAATAGGGGCTTGACATAGGTGATGATATGAACATACAGTCCATTTTGTTAGTTGATAATGGTATTGTGGTAAAGTAAGGAAATGCCATTTTATAGATACATAATTAGTATTCAGCGATGAAACACTGTATGATGTTCTTTAAAATATTCAGCATGAAATTGTTGAAGTAATTATGGCAGGTGATATTTACAACTGATAAAGCAAGGTGAATAGTATGAGCAATTATATTACCATATGATCTGACAATCATATCATTGTCATATTGACTATTTTCTCTACATTTTTGTTATGTTTAAAAATTCATAAAAATTTAAGATTTTTTCAATTAGATTACATAAATTATAAAAAGTCAATAACTGCCTTCACATATTTTCCTTTAAAAATCCAAATAAGTAACTTTGAGCAGTGCCTGCTTAAAGTTAAAGAACATAGTTAAAGAACACTGGGAAGGCAAAATCAAATAAATAAAGATCCAAAGGAAAGAAAACTCAATGACTCATAAAACAAAAATAAGTGCTAAATGGTGGCATCCCAGGATTCTTCTTCCAAACAAAGTATACTTCACATAAAATACTATCAACAGGTACCAGGGGAAGCAGCAGAGAGTACAGCCCCTCAATTCTTCATTGCCTCAAAGGAGAGGTGATAACAGGGGGTGCCAAAGGCTAAAAAAAAATGGCTATAGAAACATAACTTGGTCACCACATAAATTATAAATAAATTCTAATGTGACCAAATACAATTTTCAAAGCCAAATTAACCCAAAATGAACTACACAGAACTAGAATCTTTGGATTCCTGTCATTTATCAATCCTAGAAATATGCCTTAAAAAAAGCATAAGAACAAAGTCTCCCCAGAGCAAAAGGAAGAAGAACTACTAAAGGGGTAGTAGAAAAAAGGAAAAATAAAACTTAGAGCAAAGACATCAAATGGTCTCTCATTTAACGACGAGGGTGAGAAGACCACATGGAAAAGGCCATGTGAGGAATACTCTTCAAACTAGACCACACTCCAATACTGGGATTCAACCATCATTAAGATTGCCTCTCCAGCTTCATTACCACCTTCATATTATGTAACTTGACTTTTCTCATCATTATGGAAGGCAGTCGCGTTGACCTTATACACCTTAGGAAACTTCTGATTAAGGTCACATTGTTCACACAGGGAAGTTCTCTTTTCTGGCTGATTCTATCAGGGTTTTTTCACATTACCTTAACATCAGCCACTTTACTCAGACCTAAATTTTTAATGACTTTGTTGATCCTCTCATTTTTTTCTTGATTTGTCACAGTTGTTGGAAGCCGAAGAGCCGCTGAGAACTGTAAATTTTCTCTCACTGTCAGGGTGCCCATCACAACATCATCCTGAAGGCAAATAGTATTTTAATGAGACATACTAAGTCTTTTCTAAGACTATCCCTCCAGTGAATGTAACTTAATACACACACACACACACACACACACACACACACACACACAACCCAAGGTAAAATTTCAGCTCCACAGATTTCAGTGATTCCACATACAGAGAGCTACAGAGTCCAAGGGAGGCAGTTCATCCACCAGTGCACACCCAGATGGAGCACTGGTAATTATGATGACTCCAACAGGTACTTCCAGACTGCTTTGTATAAGGATTCGCCAAAGGCATTGTATAGGGAACGTAGGAAAGTAAAGGAAGGGCAAAAAAAAAGGATAGGAATTAGCTTTTATGTAAATGATACAACAGCTAGAATCAACACCACTGCCTGACAGGGGTCATAGTCCAGATCCTCCTTTCCTTTCCATTTAACTCTAACCTCACTCTTATGGGAAATTATGAAAAGCAGGTGTAAACAAGTTTTGTTTCATGAGCATGTGAAATAATCAACTGGAATCATACTAAATTATAAGCCAAGGTTTTTCCCGATACAGAACCAAAAAAATCTAAAGGGAAAATTCACTAATACTTACTTGTACCACATAACCGGACTCACATGGGAAATTGGCATTCCGAGGTGCTCCATTTACCAAAACTTCTCCAGATAATCCACGTGGATCCTTCCTTGCAGCTAAGATATCTAACAAACTATAAAAGGGTACATATGTTATAGGGTTTTTTCTCCTCCTACACAGGCCATGTCTCTCAGCTACTCTTAACAGACATTTTTCTCAAGTCAGAAAATTAACTAGTCAGGATGTTTTTAAAAATTGTATGTGTGTGTGTGTGTGTGTGTACTTAAATTTTCACCCTTCTTTTCATCATGGGCTACAGGAAACACCAAAAACATAAAAGCAAGGTATCATTGGCTTACCCAGCACAGGTGTCCCAAATGACCCACATGGCTGTCTTACCTTGGTGGATCCAACACAGGAAATGTGCTCCTTTATCTATGCCCTCACAAAGACCTTCTGCTCTACCTCCACATTTTTAATATTATCCCCTTATTTCCCTACCCAATGCTCATAGCATGCCCCCCAGCCCATATATGCCAAATAACTTATCAAGTCCTATTAGTAAAGCCAACCTATTAAGACTTCCTGGTTCTTGGGGAAAAAAAACACAAGCTAGCCCAACTGCCTATCAACAGCACCTAGGACCAGAGAAGACATGTACAGCAAATGCTCAACCAATATCTACTCACACTAAAAATGATTGTTAAAAACACACTGAAGATTCTGGAAAAAATGGAGTAGGAGAAGGGTGTAAATTTCACTTATTCCATGAGCTTGAGGCCCAAGCAGCAGGAAAATACTGCTACCTTGTAAAGTGGGTGACAGGGAACACACTGAATCCTAATATAAGAATCATAAAGACAGAAATTCAGGAACTCTGAACATAGGGCAGGAGAGAATACCTTGGGAATCCAACCTATAATGCTGCAGATCAGTCCACTGTAGAGGGGAGGGGAGACCCAAGCAGAAAGAAGAGATTGAATCTGAAGGAAATTGGGCACAGGGTAACTGGTAAAACAGAGGTGAGGTCTGAACTTGGGTGACTCTGAGCTTCCTGGGTGGAGGGTGGAGAGCTGATGTGGGATGCCATCTTAGAGTGACTATGAGGTGACTTTCTGCTACAGGAGCCAGGGAGTTCATAACAAGCATTGGCCAACTGTCCCTGCATACGCCTGCTGTGAGATCTAGAGACCTCCTGGTGGGGGCATGACTGAGGAAGGCACAAAGAGGATTGTGCTCTTTGGTGGCTTGCAGGGTTAGTCTAAGTAAACTCAGAAACTGGACAGATGGGTACATTTACACTCGGGGTCTGTTCCTGGAACAACCATATTTATGGAAAGTGATGTGTGCAAGAACAGAGACTTCATCGCTTTACCCCAACAATGGAGTTCTCAGGAGCCCCCTCCCCATACCCAGACACCCAGTGAAGATTAGCTTCTGTCTGGCAATAGGGTGGATGGAGCCATTTTCCCTAGAGTAGAAAACTCACGGCAAAGCTCACAAGTTTGGTCAGAGCTAAGTTTGCCAGTTGCCTGAACTTAACATTTAGAAGTCTACATCAGCCCCGCCCGGGGAGTGCACTCACCGAGTTTGCATGGACAAAACTCCAATTGTCACTACTTCCTATTCTGTCCTTAAACTGGCAAGAAGGGAAACTGAGAGTCAATACAGGCAGCTTCAGTTCCAGGCCACTGTAGCTGACAGCTGAGTGACCAACTCAAAGAAGATGGACTTCACAACTCCCAGCCCTTGCTCTAACAGGTACACAGCCCTAGAAGAAACAGAAAGGACAGGAAGGCATAGGCAGTGGACATCCATACTTGCCAACAGTGTTGCCCACCTCAGCAGAGCAGCCCTTCATGTGTAATTAAAATTTTTCTTTCCCTTTATCCTTATTCTTATTTTTTTTCTTTTTTCCATCAACTGTGTGTGAATGTGTGTATGTGTGGGATGTATGTTCTGTTTCGATTTCCTAGTGGATCTTCATTTTTATCCCCTTTTTCCTCTTTTTAAATTTTTTCCTTTCCTCAACCATTTGTTATTTCACTTTCTTTTAACATTAGAGGGGTAAGGTTTTGTGCTTATGTGTTTTGGTTTGACTTTTCATCTCTTTGTTTCGGCTCTTTTTTGTTGTTGTTTTGTTTGTTTTTTCTCTTATTACTCCTCTCCTCTCTTCCCCCTTCAGTAGCTTAATTCACTTGTTCTCTCTCTTTCTCATTACTTATTTTATTGGGGAGTCAGGTATTTTTTACTCCTCTTTATTTATAGCCATTACAATCCCTCCCCTGCTGCACTTCAGTTCACCTTTTGAATATTTTAAATTTCCTTTTACCTTCCTACCCCACTTTTTTTCTTCTTAATGAACTACAGTTTTACTATCTTTAAGAACAATTTAGTTTGTATAATTACTCCCCCACCGTTCATGTTTCTGCAGTTATTAGCATTGGGAAGGGCATAGTTGGTAACTATTATATATTTTTATACTAGTTATAATTCATGACTGCTTATTGTTACTGCTGTTGTTAAATGCTTACCCTGCAATTCCTCTTTTTGTGGGAATTAATGGTATATTAGTGCCATAGCAGGCACCAGGAATTTATTCTAATGCTCTATATTGATCACTACTATTGCTGTTGCTTCTTTTCCCTTTTTTTCTGAGAGGGGCTGGGAAGTAACTGGTACACTACAAGTTCAAATGAGAAACTCTGCAGTTGAATAACACCCACATCTCAGCAAAGTGACAGTGTACCCTCCTTCACACACAAATCAACCCTAATCAAGCTTCAAAAATACTTTGACACATAGAATAGAGGAGACAAAAACTCCAAACCAATGATTAGCCCCCAAGTAAGAATGACTAGAAGGAGACATCAGATTCCCCTCTTGGACATTTTTCCTACATCAAAATAAAAAATATTCCAAAAAGAAGACTCGAAAAACCTTACAGTGTTATAGCAGCTCTTAGAAGAGTGAATTCATTCAGCAGTTCTATAGCAGCAAACTGAGAGTCTTTGTTGGTCATAACTAATACTTGGAATACACTCAGCCTACATACTGAAGCCAACAGATACCAACAACACAGGACTTATTACAAAAGAGACAACTACCTCCCAAGGATATCATCACAAAGGAGGAAAAGGAGTCCATTTCATGTGCAGGTCCAAGATCTCTGAAAATATGAGGAAAAAGTCTCCCTCCAAATGTTACAATCTTCCAAAAAGGTATACACAGACACGTAAGGGAATAAAATTTCAAAGAAAGATTTTGAAACTTTGATTATTAAAAGTATTAATGAACTAAAATAAGATATAAGGGACTGGGACTGTGGTAGCGCCCTTGTCTGGCAAGCCTGAGGCACTAGGTTCGATTCTCAGAACCACGTATAAATACATAAAATAAAGATCTATCAACAACTAAGAAAAATAAATTTTTTAAAAAAAGAAGATATAAGAAACAAATTAAAGAATGAACTAAGAGCAACTACAAAAGGTCAAAGACCATTAAATAGATAGAGATTCTGAAAAGGGACCAATCAGAACTACTAGAAATGAAAAACACAATAAATTGAATAAAAGGTTTACTTGAAAGAATCACCAACAGACTAAATTACATAGAAAACAGAACCTTAGGCCTCAAGGACAAGGTATTTGAGCTGGAACATTCAGTAGATAGTAAAGGGGAGGGGAGAACATGATGAGAAAGTACAAGAAGTGTGGAATAGAAAAAAGCAGAAAAATACAGGCTAATGGCATTAGGAACCTATTTAGTAATATAATAGAAGAAAACTTTCCAATCCTTAGGAACACAATGGACATCTACATAAAGGATGCATATAGAACCCTAAATAGACAGTATCAAAAATTAAACTCTAATGGACACATCATGTACAAAATGCCTAACATAGAAAATGAGAATAGAATAGAAAATGAGAATAGAATATAAAGAGAAAAACATTAGATCACAATCACATTTAAAGCTACATCAATAAGACTCACCTCAAACTTCTCAATTCAAACTAAACGTGCGGAGGGCAGGGAATGTAGCTCAGTGGTAGAGCCCTTGCCTGGCATGGTTGAGGCCCTGGGTTTAATTCCCAGCATGGGAAAAAAAAACCCTAAATAAAATTTTTATAAAACAAAAAAAGCCAGAAGGGCTTAGAATGAGGTAATTCAATCTATAAAAGAAAATAATTGCCAGCCAAAATTGCTATACCCAGCAAAGCTATCATGAAGAATTGAAGCAGAAAGTAAAACTTTCTATGGTAATGATAAACTAAAATAATTTATGGCCACTAAACCTGAACTACAGAAAATAAATACTACATGATGAGAAACTTAAAAACAACCCCCAGAGCTCTCAAATAGATGTAGCTCTCCAGAAAAGCAATTAATCAAATAAAAATAAAGAACAAATTTCATTTATTAAACAAATAAAATTACTGGAATTAACATCTCTCCATAATAACTCTGACTGTGAATGGTCTCAATTCTTCTCAGAGGTGGGCAGAATGAATTTAAACAACAGAACCCAACTATACATTGTTTCCAAGAGACTCTTATAGGCAAAGATATCTATAGACTGGAAGTGAAAGAATAGAAAAAGATACCTGATGCAAGTAGAGTTTGAAAACAAGCAGGAATACTTATTCTTGTATCTAACAAATCAAACTTCAAGCAAAAAATAATCAGAAGAAATCACATCATTTGCTGGTAAATGGAGTGAGTCCATGCTGAACAAAATAAGTGAAACTCAGAAAGACAAGGGTGAAATGCTTTCTCTCATGTGCAGAAGCTAGAGAAGAAAAATAAATTCAAGAGGAGATCTCATGAAAATAGAAGAGAGATCAGGAGAGTAGAAGCAAGAAACCAAAGGGGTGGGAGGAGGAAAGGGAAAGGGGAATGTGAAATAGAGTTGACCAAATTATACTAGGTGAATTTATGGTGAGACCACAATGTATTATAACTTTATATATGATTATAAGGCATTAATTAAAAAAATAAGTAGAAGAGAGACCAAGAGAGGAGAGAAAGGGAATCAAAAGGAGGGAGATGGGGAAGAAAGGGGTAATACTGGAGATTGGAATAGTTTAAAACTATGGTATATGCATTTATAAATATGTTGAAATAAATCCCACTATTACATATAACTACAATGCACTAAAAAAATAAAAAATTTAATCTTAAGAGACAAGGAAAACTATTGCATATAATTAAAGAGAATAATCCAACAAGAAGATATAATGATAGTAAATATTTATGCCCCAAATGTTGGAGTACTTAATTACATAAAACAAACACTTATTGACTTTAAATCCCAGATAGAAACTAATATAATAATACTTGGTATTTCAACACATACCTCTCAACATGCAACAGGTCATGCAGATATAAAATCAATAAAGACACTTCTGTCCTAAATAATTGTATAAACCAATTGGACCTAACAGTCATCTATAGAATATTTCACTAAACAAGAACTGAATGCATTTTCTTCTCAATATCTCATTGAATATTTTCCAAAATAGACCATATTTTAAGACACAAAGCAAATACAAATTGCCGTAGTCCAGCTAGGCTGCCCAAGTCCGGCTAGGCAAAATAACCAAGAGGTGACAAGCAACTTGAAGGTTGAAGCAGGAACTACTTTATTGCCAGTGAACTCAGCAGGAACTGAGAACTCAAAGTAGCGGGCACCCAGAGTAGCAGGAGCCGCCTCTCTGCCAAACTGTAGAGGTACATATACCCAACTAATTACACACAGCTTAACTTAATTGACATCATCTTGACACAGCAGTCAGTCATTAAGGAATCCTCATCATCTTAATGGCTTGCTGGCGTTACTTCACAAACCACTCCTCTTGGCATACTGCCAGGTGCCATCTTAACTTGGTTGTGGCGCTCATCAACAAGTCTTAGCAAATAGAAAAAAAAAAAAAAACTATCCCATGCATCTTGTCAGATCATAATGGATTGACACTAGAAATCAACAGCAAGAAAATTTATGGAAATCACATAAACACATGAAGATTGACCAATATTTTTTTTAACAAGGAATGAATCACATTTTAAAAAATGAAAGGAAATATTTATAAATTCCTAGAATCAAATGAGAACAGCAATACAACACAAAACAATCTGAGATACTGTGAAGAGGATATTAAGAGGAAAGTTTATAGCGTTAAGTGACCACATTAAACAAAAGAATAAAGATTCCAAATAAACAGCGAATGCTGCATCTCAAGACCATAGAAAAGCAGAAATAAACTAATCCCAAGACCAGAAGAAGACAGAAAATAATTAACATCAGAGCTGAAATTAAAATAGAGGACTAAAAAATAAACTACAAAGGATCAATGCAACATAGAGGTGGTAACTTGAAAATATAAATAATATCAATAAACCCCTAGTCAAACTAACCAAAAAAAAAATTAGAAGACACAAATCAACAAAATTTGAGATGAAAAAGGAGATTCATTACAGCAATTGATGAAATCCAGAAAATCATTAGGGACAATTGAAAACACATGTAACAATAAATTGGAAAATCTAGAAGATATTGACAACTTTCTAGACCCATATGACCTATTCAAATTGAACCAAGAGGATATAGAAAACCTCAACAGAACAATAGAGCAGTGAGATTGCAAACAGCAATGAAATTAAAGCCACAATAAAAAGCCTTCCAAAAAAGAAAAGCCCAGGAATACATGGATTCTCAGCTGAGTTTCACCAGATCTTTAAAGAAGAACTAACACTAAATTATTCCATGAAATAAAAAAGGAGGGAACACTGCCGAATTCACTCTATGAAGCCAGTATCACCTTGATGTCGAAACAGATAAAGATACATCAGGGAAAGAAAACTGCAGACCAATACCCTTGATGATCACATATGCAAAAAACATTAATAAAATGTTAGCAAGCCACATTCAAAAACACATTAAGAAGATTATATACCAGGATCAAGTTGGTTTCATCCCAGGGATGCAAGCTTGATTCAATATGCACAAACCAAAAATGCAATTCATCACATAAATAGAATCAAGGACAAAAATAAATGCAGAAAAAAAGTCTTAGACAAAATTCATCACCCATCACCCATTTATATTAAAAACACCAGAGAAACCAGGAACAGAAGGAACTTACCTCAACATCATAAAGGCTATACATGACAAACTCAAAGCCAACATCATACTGAACAAAGAAATACAAAGCATTTCCTCTAAAATCTAGAACAAGACAAGGATGTCAATTCTCACCACTCCCTTTCAATAAAGTTCTTGAAATTGATCAAAGCAATCCGGCAAGAGAAGAAAATTACAGGGCTACAAATAGGAAAAAAAGTCAAATTCTTTTTGTTTGCTGATGACATGATTCTAACCCTAGAATGATCCAAAAAACACTACCAGAGAATTTCTAGATCAATAAATTCAGCAAAGTGGTAGGATACAAGATCAACATAAAAAAATGTCTTTCTTATACTCCAATAATGAATCTGCTGACAAAAAAAAAAAAATTCCATTCAAAATAACCTAAAAACAAACAAGAAAAAAAACCCTAGGAAAAAAATCTAACTAAAGAGGTAGAAGAATTCTATAATGAAAATTATAAAATACTGAAGAAAGAGAATGAAGAAGATTCTAGGAGATGCAAAGACCTACCATGTTCATGAATAGGTATAGGTAATATCATCAAAATGGCTATATTGTAGGAATGATAGCAGAATGAATTGGACATTATTACCCTATGTGCATATATAATTACACAAATGGTTTAACTCTACATTATATACAACCAGAAGAATGAGAGGTTATATCTCATTTATGTATGGTGTGTCAAAACACATTCTACTGTCATGTATAACTAAGTAGAACAAATTTTTAAAATGACCATATTACCAAAAGTAATCTACAGATTCAATGCAATCTCTATCAAAATACCAATGACATTCTGCACAAAACTGGAAAAAAAGCAGTCTTAAAATTTATATGGAAGAACAAAAGACCCAGAATAGCTGAAGAAATCCTAAACAACAAGAGCAAGAAGAAAATATGGTGTCAACACTTCAACCCATTGACTCAGACACTGACTTCCCTAATAAGACTCCTAGAGCTCAAGAAATGAGACCAAGAATCAATAAGTGGAATAGTATTAAATTAAAAAGCTCTTTACAGTAAAGGAAATAATTTAGAGTGTGCAGAGAGATCCTACAGAATGGGAGAAAATCTTTGCCAGCCACTCTTTGATAGGAAATTAATAATCAGAATATATAAAGAACTCAAAAATCTTTAAAAATCTTGCCACCAAAACCACCAATCAACCACTCAATAAATGGGTAACATCTCTCAAAAGAAAAAAAAATACAAATGACCAACAAATACACACACACAAAAAAAAAAATGTTCAACACCCTGAACAATCAGGGAGATACAAATCAAAACTACACTGAAATTTCATCTCACCCCAGTTAGAATATCAATCATTAAGAATACAAATGATGGTAATTGCTAGAAAGGATATAGGGAGAAAGATACTTGTACATAATTTATGAGACTGAAAATTAGTACAATCACTTTGGAAAGCAGTATGAAGAGTCCTCAAAGATTAGAAACCACCATATGACCTAGCTATCCCAAAAGAACTAAAACCAGCATACTATAGTGATATGAGCAAACACAGGTATATGATAGCCATATACAATCCACAATAGCCAGTTATGAAACCAGTCTAGATGCTCATCAATAGATGAATGGAGGGAGTTCTACTCAACCGTTATGTCACTTGTTAGTAAATGAACCAGACCTCGTCCTAATTGAACTAAGCCAAATTCACAAAGTCAAGAGTCAGATGTTTTCTCTTATATGCAAAGGCTAGAATGGAAAAAAATATTTTTTTAAAAATTGAGGTCTCATGAAAATAGAAGGGAGATTAGTAGAGTAGAATAAGGGGACTGAAGAGGAAGGAGGAGGTAAAGAAAACTGGAATAACTGGGAAATAAAGTTTAATAAATTATGCCATGTGTATGTATGAATACATCAAAATGCATTCCAATTTTATATACAACTATAATGCATTAATTAAAATAATTAAAATAAACAGAAAGAATATCAATAGAGTAAAGGAAGAGGATGGGGAGAAAGGAGGTGAAGGAAGGGGAAAATACTAGAGATTGAAATGGAGAAGACTATGGTATACACCTGTATGAATATGTCAAAATGAATCCTACTATTATGTACAACTATAATGCACTAAACATAAAATTTAAAAAGCACATTGAACCTGCACAGAAATGGCTGACTTATATTTTCTGTTATACTCACAAAGATTTGCCTCCACCTGTGGGTCCCAGGATAGCATTGAGGCCAGGTTTCATGATCCCACTATAAACAGAAAAAATATAAATTCATCGTTCCACTTTCAAAGAAATAATTTTCATTTAGACTCTGCATTGAATATTTTCAATGAAGGTTGGTAAAACTGTGGACAGAAAACAAGCACCAACTCTTTATTGGCGTGGGAGGGGTACCAGGGATTGAACTCCAGGCACTTGACCACTGAGCCACATCCTCAGCACATCCCCATCACCACCCCCAGCTTTTTTTTTTTTTGTATTTATTTAGATACAGGGTCTCACTGAGTTGCTTAGCACCTCACTATTGCTGAGCCTGGCTTTGAACGTACAATCCTCCTGCCTCAACCTCCTGAGCTGCTGGGATTACAGGCATGTGCCACCAAACCCAGCCACCAACTCTTAAAGAGAAAAAAAAAACTGATTAATAGAAGTCTAGTATACATAGGATATGAACCACTAGTCAGAACCCGTAAGAATGGTTAAGGTCCCTCTAAGTTGCTTTCATTTATCCTTGAAACTATTTATTCCTTTTTGCAAATGACATATCCAATGTCCAAGATTCCTTGAAACAAGTAAGATTTTTTTACCCATCTCTTACTCTTGTTACTCTTAACACAGTATCAAGTATGTAACAGTTTTCAAGAAATGCTTTATAATATCTTCCAATCATAGAAACCAGTAGTAGTGGTCTCACTAACAAAATCAAACAGACCAAAAATCAACATTTCTGAAGCAAAAATACAAAGGGTAGAATGAAGCACTCCCGACGATAAGAAGCCATCACCTGTTCATAACATTCAAGGAAAATGTAGTACCAACTAGGAAAGGAAACACACATCCTCAAGACAGATCATTTCATTCCTTTTTCTGGGTCCAGAAGTGGACTGGAAAATGCTCAGTTTAGAATTAGGAGACATCCCTCCAGTAGGGAAAATTTTTTAAAGATGTACAAGGATGGCGGAGATACCAAAGTTTCACAAACTAAGAGCATGTGTGAGGGTAAAATATTTGGATAGAGTAGGAAGGTGGAAAAGGTATGACCAGGCTGAGAGCCCAGAAGGCAAATAGCTTGAATTTTATCTTAAAGGTAAGATGTACAGTGCTAAATAGAATGAACTTAAGGAAGTTTAAGGGCTGAGATTCCAAAGGATACAGAGATGATGAAACAGAGTCCTTTCAAAACCTCAATGTCTACAGTCTTTCTATAGCATTAGTAAGGAGGCAAAGATGTACTCCTCAGAGAAATGGTATTTATTTCAAGTGTATGGTCAAATCTGACTGCAATTGTTCTAAAATAATGATTCCCACAGAGGTCGATCTTACAATTACACAATTGTCAGTGAAGAACTTCCCAACACAAGTGCTTCACAGAACTTACAGTGAAGGGGACCTCAACATTCACTGACTGTGCTACCTGACTTGTCACAATTATACTATGGCTGCCAGGGGTTAAGGCAATATGTACTCTCACTTTGCTCATTAACTGATGTATCTCTCACTGAAACATGAGGAAAAGTGAAACTTGGGTAAACACAGAGCCAGCTGTAACACAGAACAATGTTATTCTTTTGTTGACTTTTTCGTCTACTGTAAAGACACACTAACAATTGGGTAGGTCCGTGGGTTTAAACCAGTAGCAGAGTGAGCGCTCAGCATGCATGAGGTCTGGGATTCAATCACTAGCACCCCCCTCAAAAATATTCTAAAAATGATATAACCTCTCCAAGTGCATTTATCTGTATCTCTTAATGAATCTTCTTCAATAACAGCTACCTCTAATTTCTTGTAAAATGACCAGAAATAAACTTTTTATTCACTAAGTCTTCACTGTCAGAAAATCTTCCCAGGTTTTTAAAATACTTACTCAGAAAAAGACCAAGAAATCCTGATGGACAGTATATTGTGATGGTATTTTGCTTTACAAATAGAGCTATTTTTTTTTCTAAAACATAGCAGCCAAAAACTGAATAACCTTTCTCATGGAAACCTAAACCAGAAATGTGAACAAGCATGAACCCCAATCCTAGGTGTCATTTTAAATATAAAAATTGAAAGAATTCTAAAATTTGAGTGCACTTATATGAGCCTAGGAAAGCATAAGACAATGACCTTTGCTGAGAGGCACACCATTCAGCCATGAACACGTGACGCCTTGAACAGAGGAGACACTGCATGGAGTCACTAGTCCACTAGCCAAACTAATAAGCCAGAGGGGCTGGGGATATGGCTCAGTGGTACAGCTCTTGCCCTGGGTTCAACCCCTAGCACCAAATAAACACAAAGAAATAAACAAAAAAAGACATTCACACAGTTCACATTTTACATCTATTTAACCTGCACATATTAAAATCATGTTACCTTCTACCTGTTTCAGCACAAAATACAAAAAAAAAAAAAAAACCCAACATTTTCTTGATTGTTATGTTTCATGAAAAGCTCACCAGCTTCCCCTAAGTCAATTCTATCTAATCATGTACCAAAGGATCAAAGCCTTTCATCCACCATTCCTCTCCTTTTTCTCCTATTCAGGATTTCTTATCCGACACAAGAGAGAGATGTTGAGAAAGAGGCAAGACAGCAAGTGTTCTTCATGGAGAAAGAATTTAAAGAATTCCGAACTTTGAGCATAGCACCCCTGGCCTCAACGCAGTCAACTCTCACATCCTGATCATCTCTCTCCCCATCACACTCCCACAAAAATTCTACCTTATTTTGTCACTCCCTTATCCTCTGAAGGAAGTTGGCTCCAGTAACAGAAGAGACCACAGTAGTATACAAAACATCCAAAAAAACAGGATTCCATATAGATCTACAGCCACACCAGGTCAAAGGGTTCCTTTATAACCACTCCCCAGCCTTGGAGAGTCGGGAAAATTGAAAAAAGTTGCTTGCTTTGACTAGGAGCAATTATTTTCCCTACTAAACAGTAAATGAGCAAACGAACAAAACCATATTGTCTATACTGTCTGAGCAAACCCAGATTCACTTCCTATCACTAGAGAGGGGAAGCATAGGTTCAGTTCTCTAGACATCAGGAAAAAAAAATTGACACCCCTAATCGCCAGCATCTGTGAACTCACAGAGGAACCTGGTGGTGAGTAGATTCTCTAGAAATACTCATGTCCATACCACTCTAGCTCTCATTTCAATACCATGTTCTAAATTCTAAATTTATTGCATGATGAAAAGAATAAAAATTGTAATTACTGGGTGCTTTTAAAATAAAATGGACTGAATTTTTTTGGATCCTAGAGTTTCTCACTTTATATTTCAACAGCATAACTTCTATTAAATAATAGTTGTCTTATATTTAAATAATTTCTACCTGATACTATTATGTAGAGAAAGCATTAAGTAAATTGCTTTAGTCTATGAATTTGTATAAATAAGTCATTCATTTAAAACAAGTCTATTTGTCATTAGGGGTAACAGCACACACTTGTATTCCTACTGACCCAGAGTCTGAGGCAGGAGGATTGCCAGTTTGAGGCCAGCATTAGCAACTTAGTAAGACACTTTCTCAAAAAATAAAAAGAACTGGGGATGTAGTTATGCTGAGAGCCATGGCCGAGTCTGTATGGCCCAATGTTAGAGTCTATAAACAAGTCAAAATAACACCTGGCATTTTGCCAGGGGAATGTTAGAGTTCGTAAACAAGTCTGGATGGTGCCTGGCAAAATGCCAGGGGCCATACAGACTCGGCTGTGGCTCTCAGCATTATTAAGTGGAAAATTGCCTCTGGATTCAATCCCCAGTACCCAAAAAAGTAAAAAAAAAAAAAAAAAAAAAAAATTAATAACAGTTCTATTTGTAAAGCAAAATACTATCACAATATACTGTCATTTCAACCTCCTTGCTACTAGAATATAAAGAGCATAAAGTGCACAAGTACCTAAAAAGTGTCTGGCTCAAAAAGTACACCAGCAGATCTTCTGTTTAATAGTTGGAAAACAAAAGTTCAAAGCTTACAATTATATTGTCACAATCAAAAAGCAGTAAATCACATAGCCAGGTCCACTTCCTCCAATACACAGGGAAAACTAAATGACACATTATGTGGGGAAAAATAAATAACACATTAATTATCCAGTTTTCAAAGAAAACTCAATGCACATGGGGAAATCATTTTTAAAAACAGCACATAAGTTCTTTTCAAAGTTAAACATACTTTAACAAAGTGATCTAATCATTTCTATCCTAGGTTAGCCAAAGGAAATAAAAGCACATATCAATATGTCTGTACAAAATGTATATGCAAAAGTTCATAACAGATTATTTGTAATAGGAAAAACCTGGAAGTTCATTGTAGATCAATAAAGGGGAATTTTTAAAAGATTATGCACATACTTGATATCTGATAGTATTTCTAACTCCTCTTTATTCTGACCAGGTAGAAAGCCACTCTTTACTTTTACTCGATAGTAGATGTGATGAAAACTCAACACAGCCCCCTCAGTAGATGTCTGCAGGTCCCTGGAGGACATCCCGGGCAGGCCATTGGTGTTTCTTTGCAACATCGGGATACAAATTTGATTATCTCTGAAAGTCATCTGAGGAGTTTCTGCCTTCCTGTGGAGGGAAAAGTAATGGTAGGTTGAAAGGGAAAAGAGATCGTAAGCCCTTCATAACAAACCTTTACATCAAGTCTATTTTAAACTGTGCTGCAGCGAGTAGATTTCTTTACAATGAACAGCCCACATCACTGTAATAAGAACAACCCCAGAACCCATAAAAGAGGCAGATAGAACTTTGAATCCCTGCACTCCAAATAGGTGTCAAATAATTTCTTCATAAGTAAATAGTTAAGAGTATGAAAATTATGCAAAATACATAAAGAAAAAGACAGATAAAGGTTACATTTGACTGGCTTGAAATGCATATTATGATACAACTTCAGTTCAGGGTCAATGTATATGCTGCCTATATTTCTTTTTTAATTTTTTAGTTCATGACACTGTTATCACCCAAAGGGGCATAGCCTAGCAGTCAGGGACAAAAGAGCTTTCTCAGACTTTGTAGCTTCAGACTTTACATCTCTGGTTGTTATGCACCTTCAATCATCTAAAATGTAAACCCCAACATCCTCTGCAAAGATATACTCATTTCCCTAATGGGCAAACATATTTAAATTCTAGGATGATTTAAAATTAAGTCTCATTAAATAAATCAAACTAACAGTTAAAAAGCTCAAGACTTTAGAGGGAAAACTGAATATTAAATTTATAAATAATTTTTTAAAACTTTTTTTAGTTGTATGTGGATACACAATATCTTTATTTAATTTTTATGTGGTGCAGAGGATCGAACCCAGTGCCTTACGCATGCTAGGTGAGCACTCTACCACTGAGCCACAACCCCAGCCCTATAAATAAAATTTAAAGTATTTCATTGAACAAATTTCAAAAGTCCCCTTAGAAAGATTTAGATGAAGAAATAAAGGTGAACAGAAATTGTGAAAGAAGTCTGAAATATCATCTGTAATAAACCTAATTTTTATTTTTAAAAGCCAAAGGCATCCATGAAGAATGTTCTCTCTGCCTTTGGAGGACAGCTGCTCCAAATTAATCATCCTCCTGAGAATATGACAAGGGGTGTGTGAAGATTGTTCTGATGGGAGCAACAAAGTCACAGGGACCAGAGGAACCAAACTCCCAACAAGAAGGGAACAGCTCTGGGCAAGCCCAGCACTGATGCATTTTCCTCTCCAGGTATTTGCACACACGGGGTAACACTCAGGAAATTCATGCAGAAATAAGCTTCATCCTTATGAAGCCCCTCATGATCTAAGCACATATTTCAGCAGTCTCTCAGCAAGGGAGACAAAATTTTTACAACTGGGTCAGCAAATATAAGAAACCCTGGTGAGACCAGACTCAATTTGTTCAAGATGATCTTCTCAGACTTTGCTAGAAGAAAATTTAATCCACTCTCAAAGAAGCTATCATCATCCAAATTTTCAATCCAAAATTACCAGCCATGCCAGAAAATAGGAGCTCAGGTTCCAAAAATGAAAACACAGAAGTAGACCCAAAGGAAATCCAAGCTGGAGTTACCAAATATCGACATTAAAGCCACTGATTAATATGTTCAAGAAAATAAATAAAAGAGTGTTACTAAAGAATGAGAATCTATTTTTAAAAGTCAAAATTAAGAATTCAAGCTGAATGTAGTTGTCAGGAGCCACTCTGGACAGCAGCTTTGTATATACCTTTAAGTCCTGAGTAAATAGCTACTGGACTGGTGTTGCACCCATTGCAATACAGGTAGACTTTACCTCCGCTTGGATAAGAAAGGTGCAGCTCCAGGAGCGGGTACCACCCGATGGGGTTGAATTACACCCACTTGTTTGTTGTAACCCTATCCTTTGCCCTTTTTTTCGATAGAATGTTCCATGGACTAGCTCCCCCTATTAATAAAACCTGGGTTCAAGGCATGCTCCCTCTCTTTCTTGCTTGCCTTGCCTCCTTGGTGGAAGCTGGGTTAGAGGGGCCATCGCAGAACCCAAAGAAAAAGGTATTTCTCTGTGTGTCATTATTTCGTGCCAGCCCAGTGCTTCTGGAGTGACCCTGACAGGTTTAGTCATGTGTCATAGCATGTACTGGTACATAACAGCACTCCCAGCTATACCAGAGGCTGAAGCAGAATGACTCCAAGTTCCAGGCCAGCCTGGGCAACACAGACCCTCCCTGTCTCTTACAAGAAAATTAAGGGGACTAGGAATGTAGCCTGGTTGTAGAGCACATACAAGGTTGTGGGTTACATCACCATCACCAGAAGGGGAAAAAAGGAAGAATTCAGTGCATAAATTCAACAGTAGTTTGCACACAGATTAGGAATAATAATTAGTGAACTAAGACAGTGGTATCTAGAAAATCTCCAAGATGAAAATGGCAAATAATGAAAATCATCACCATGAAAAAAAAAAAAAGCTTTTGATTGGAAAAAGAGAAAAAACCCCATAAAAAGCCTAAGAACCATAGAATATGATGATAAAGTTCTCACATACATAACTAAGAAGTCTGGGAGAAAAAAAATATAGCAGAATCAATATTTAAAGAAATACTGGCCAAGTATTTTCCAAAACACAAAGGTATTAAGTCAGAGACTGAAGAAACTCTAGTTATACCAAAAGGATAAACACAAGAAAACCACACAAAAACCTGACATAGCAAAACTGACAAAAAAAAAAAAAAAAAAAGCAATGTCCAAATAATTGTTTCTACACCCTAAAACTTAGCATTTACAACACTCTATTCATTTTGGAAACTAAAAAGCAGAAACCTATTTAAAGACTGGCACCCAAGATATTAAAAGTAAACAGCTGGGTTTTTATGTGAACACAGTGAATGATAATAATTAGACAAAATTCTACTCTCCTGAAGTACTAAAAATGAAGAAACAAGTAATGTAGGAACTTTACACTTTTACTTTAAAAACATAAGCCATCTCCCCGGGGCTTCAGAAACCAACATATGCCAATTCCAACACTAGGGATCTCTTCCCCTACTGCCACCCCACATGATGTTCAGTCACTGAGGACATTTCTTACCTCCAAAGATGTATTAAGAGAACCAGGTAACATATTGCTTAACTTTAAATAGCTCATTGACTCAAGATGGAAATGAGACTTTGGTGAGGTTTACCACTAATATGAGGCAACAACTGGAACTAAAGTACCCAGGAAAGATCACCCATACCCATAAAATTCAAGTGGGCTAAAACTTCTCAATAACAATGTTAGGCATGTGTATACACTTTCCCTCCCTGTGAATGGATTAGGTCCACTATTCATATTGCTGAGCAGCTTGTTAGTTCCTCACTAGGGTTGTAACAATCCTACTCAGAGAAAAGCAGCGCCCTAGTAATTCATAGGTCACAAGCCCAGTGGTCAGACAGGTCTGACCCAAGCCATTCAACTGAAATACATTGCAGCAAAAAGAAAGGGAGAGGGAAATAAAGAGAAGGAAAACAAAATGTATTTCTAAAACCAATATGAACAGTGAATTATCCTAAGATGAAATGAAAAATATAGTAAGGATTTTAAAAACGAAGGAAATATATCTGGTACAGTGGCACACTTCTATAATCCCAGCAACTTGGGACGCTGAGGCAGGAGGATCAAAATTCTGTGTCCAGTCTGGACAATTTAACAAGAGACTGTCTCTCAAAATAAAATTTAAAATGTTTGGAATATAGATCAGTGGTGGAGTCTTCTTTAGCATGCATGAGGCCCTGGGCTCAATTCTTAGTACTGCAAACAAAACAAAACAGTTTTCTCTACTTTTTAGTTCTTACCATGCTCTAAAACCAAAGTGCAAAATTAGTTTTTACACAATGAAAACTGCACATAGGAGAGAAAAGGATGCAGGTGGAGTCTACATCTTCTGCCAGACATCCACCCAGTGATAACTGCTGCATATGTTGGTAGAAGGAAAGGCAGCTTCAGACCAAGAGCTCAGGGCCTTCCCGTACATTTTTTCTCTAGGAATAATACTTGTAAATGGAGAGCAGCTCTCTGCCTTATAGCTATTTATCAGGCAGCTGCTTAAGCATATACCTTCTTAAACTGCTGCCTCAGATTACTGCCAAGAGATCAGACACCTGACAGGGAGTTAGGAGCCTCAAGTCACTTTCTAGTGGTTGCTCAAATTTGAACAAGAACACAAAACATGAATTTAATTTTCACAAATTAGCCCTTGCATCTAAAATTTTTTTATTCATCAGTGATTGTCATTTTTCTTTCACAAGTTCACCCTAAAATTTTCACCAGAGGAGTTCCCAAAAAGGGGGATCTTTACCCATGCCAAGTGGGGTCCTTGGCAGTGATTTGTAGGATATGACATGATAAGAAATGGGAAGAGACCCTACTATGAAAGATATTCATGCTTCTTTAAAAGCTAGAGTCTTTTTATGATACTAATTATGTTTTTAGAAGAACATGGTGGCTGCTGTTCAGAGAACACTGGGAGAAGGGGAGGCTGGGGGCTAGTGCAGAAAACAGGACAGATAAGCTACTACAAGAGAATGGGCCTGGGTTATGGCCAAAAAGATATCAAGTTGAAGGGTTCAGAGGGATATGATAAAGCATAGGCTTAGCACACTCTAAATTTAAAAAAATAAATAAAACAACTTGTAATCAATTAATTAACAAAATAAAAAGTATCATCATGTAAATATTTGCAAGAATTTCACACACAACAAAATGAGACTATAGGTTGGATCCAGGTAGTTCAGTATTATAGACAATGTTAGGCTAAAGAAAAAGGGTTCAGGACTTCTGGTGGCAAGTTTGGGGAAGGAAAGGTGTGGTTAGGTAGGGGTTGTTTTGTTACACAGGTTTTTTCTCAGCGAAGAGTTGTCTTGGAGATGCACTTTTAGAAATAGAAAACTAAAAGTTAATTTCCACTTGAAGGGTTAAATTTATACTGTCTTTGTAGTCATTGGAGGGAGGGAGCAAAGTGATTTAAAATTGTTCCCAGGCCCTCAATTGTCTTACACTCAAAATAATTGGAATACCAAAGAGGCATATTGGGATGGCATTTTCTTGAAC